GCCCATCACTAACAAGTGAGATGAAAGCTGCCTGACAAATCAAGAGAAGTGAATGAATTCAAACACGCCAGTCCTGTTGGTTGATAGAGGACACCAAAGACACACAGGCAAACAAGGCACCCCAACCCACTGACATGGCCGCGCTGATGACTCGCGATGGACACTGGCCCTTTCAGCGCTTGCTTCAGCGCTTGCTTGAAGAAAATCTAAGGCTAAGGATGGCTAAGGCTAACTGCGCAAATCCGAACTCTAAACACACTTCGAAACAGTTGCAGCAGTTGGATGTCTCCTTCTCTGATAATTCTAATGACAGTAATTCTTTTGCTAGGCCGACTCTTCTGCCCCAGTGCGGTCTATCTATATATATACCTGGATCTTCAAACGGCACAAATTTTTGCCGGAGGCATTTTTTAGTGAAAAGACGCCGTAATCAAAAAAACATGCCGTTTTATGGGTTGCACAAAATCCATGGACGGGGAAAGACGCCGTTTGGACGCCCAAAGACGCCGTTTGGACGCTTAAAGACGCCGTTTCTTTTTGCTTTCTGCCGGCGTGCGCCTCGTCACAACAAAAAACGCCGTCTTTGGAAAAAAACGCCGTAACGGCATTTTTTCCTGAAAAGGCAATTATTTGTGCCGTTTCGAAGATCCAGGTATATATATGTAAGGATCACCCACTGGACCACGGGTCTGAACCGAAGTCACGCAGAAGTCCATCGTCCATCCGCCTTTGGGGTCGAAAAAGAACGGGTGAGTTATGACGATTTGCGACGATGGAAGGCCAGGACGGACTGCCGAGAAACGGCCAGGGGTGGGGCCATGGGGTTCAATTGATAGGCAGTCCTATGGCAGTCCCATTGGTCGTGTTTGGGAAATGGATCGGAGGGATGCTCTTCAGACCCGACGACGACGTGCACACTGCCACTGTGCCGGATCCAAAATCAAGGGAAACTTATGGAGCGGTGTCAAGCTGGAGGTGGGGGGGAAAAAATGGATTTCGCAGCAAGGCAAGTCTGGAATGCAAAGGTCTAGGTGGGTGACACGGTGACACCTCAACAACCGGCCTCTTTGGCTGACACGTCTAGGGGGATACAGTATACACGTATAGCTTGTTGCGAAATACTCACCAGCATCAAACAAACACAAACGTTTGGAAAGATTCCATCCGGATGTACTTTGTGATCAGGTGATCACCTCTAGATACCTCGGGTCGTTTCCGGCACCCTTTTCCACACACATCCGGACGCTCCGACGACCCGCTCGACCGCCGCGCTCGGATCCATCGACCGTCCTCGGCCGAAGAAAGTGGAGAACGGAGGAGACGAGTCTGGGAGCGAGCTCGGCTTGGAATGCCATGGATTCACCCATTCAAAAGAAGAACACATCCGCAAAAGAAGAAAACACGATCCTGGATCCTAAAAAAACATTGAGCAATGAAGGAGCCCCCACTTAGAATGGGAATCTCCCCAAACTCTTTCACTGACATGGCGAGAATGCCGCACTTGTAACAAGGTCCGAAATCGGCGAAAGACTCTGGCTGAAAGCGTGTGCTCGAGCAATATCTGATGTGAACAACGCAATCAGGTTTTTCTATGTATAATGCAGCAACTTAAGGACGTGCTTTTTCACCCAGGTGTTGAACCTGGCCACCCTACGATCACACAGCATCACCTGCTTTGCCTGCTGCCAGGCCTCATCACGATCTGTCTCAAAGATCACTAGGAGACGCTTCCTGCACAGGAAGTCAATTCGCGAGGAGCGAACCTTTTTGAAAAGAGATGACAAAGGAGTAAGAATGCATGCAGTGAGCAACCGGATTGGTCTTTGGCATGTATATATTTGTTTCCACTCGGGGGGTTGGAACCAGCTGTCTTTCAATGTCTTTATAGTATAATTTACTCCAACCCTTCTTGACTCTCCCTGGAACCAATGACTAAACCTCACTAGCAAAACAACCAGCTGCGCTGTGCTGCGCTGCACAGCAGTGAAAACCTTTAGCTCCCCAAAACCCACTGACCTCTCAAACTCAAACTCATCGCTGCATGTTTTTTCGCCCGAAATTGGCATCATGATGCATTTGGTTCCTGGTCCAACTGAATGGCCATCTCGATCACCTGAACATCACTGGCAGTTTGATGCTCCGTCCAAATGTGACGTCTGGCCAGGTCCACCGGCAGAAAGTGCTTTGCCCATGGCCCCATGATGGTGATGTGAACTGCCAGCAGCGCATATCGACCGAACAACTTGGTGCCGAAGGCGTACCATATCTGAAAGAAGGAGCCGGACCAAAGAGCAAATTGCAGATATGACGTCGATATGGCAGCTCCTCTGTTCATCTCATCCGTCGGTAAAATAACTCGGAAGTTCCACAGGCCAGCATCGAACATGAAGAGATTTGCCAGAGCCACTGCAAGGATCGCGAAGCCCAGTAGGGGAACAAATGGAGTCCAAAAAATCAACATCTCCTTGGCTAAGTCGGCCATCAAATCAGCATGTTCCATTACATGTTCGCAACAAAGGCCCATAATGGCTGGTGGCCCTGTGCTTAATTAAAGTTCTTGAACCTAAAAGCGGACATGTCAACAAACCGGTGAATTACATTGTGTATAATTGATTTCAACTGTTGCGTATACAGTGCGCATGAGATCAAACAGCCGTTGTCTTCCGCAAGTCAAGAAAAAAGCATGTGCTGTTGCACCCTTTGCAACAAAGCATCCACTTGAGTAGTGAGCAGCGACAGTTGCTGCAAAGGTACCAGCGAGCCGGTCATCTTTGGCCACCGACCGAAAAGCTTCAAATGTCTTCCCTGCAAGTCGTCTCTGGCCATCTCCAGCTTTGAGCAGTGCCACAGGATCAATAGCATCAAAGGTTGGACTGTCGCTCGAACCATGAGCTTTTTGAGAAGGAAGGGCGTCAAGTTCCCTACGATGGCTCGGCTACACCTGCCATCTGACCACCAGCTATCACTCGACCCACAAATGTCCGTGTCAGTATTCAATATTTCTTCGCCCCAGACTTCCCAGTTGAAATTCTGGTGGTTCGGGGATCCTACTTGGCACACAGTCCAAGTCCATTTCCAGCCTGATAAGCAGTTCTCATCCAATACAACTGTGGTAAGCAACGCTAAGAGCCAAGCTGAAAAGAGACGAAAAGTCATAAGTAGACGATCTGCTTTGATTCCTGTGATTGCTGCATACTTGGCCGAGACTGGAGCTGAGAGCACCATGTCAATGAGCACATTCAGGTAAGGGGCAAGACTGTTGAACCATTGCAAGACAAGATCACTCACCGGAAGTGAGTCGTGTGCAGGCAAAGACTGGGAGAAAGCATAGAGAATGGATGGCAATGAAAAGATGGAGACAATGCCAAACCAGCAAGCCCAAGCCACAACTCTTCTGAGTCGATTGCGCAGGCTTCCTTTGTTAAAAGCAGCGGCTTGTGATGATGGAATCTTGGGCATACTTGCCACCACGGTGCGAAAAAA